GGGACTCGATCCTGGGGCTCCAGGATCATGACCTGAGCTGAAGGCAGTCGCTTAACCAACTGAGCCACCCAGGCGCCCTCATTCTTACTGTCTTTAAGGTGAAGATGACGAAGATACAGGGAATTGATAGTAAGAGATTTTTAATCTTTATAAACACACTTCAGATGGAGATTCTTATGTAGAATTTAAGATGTATTTGTACAATTTAAAATGAGTTTTATCAATCACTGTTCATGATTATAAGCCATTGCTTACTATGTGCTGCAGATCATGAGTTTTCTAATTTTAATTTGTAATTCATTTCAGCTGTACTTGAAAATAGAAGCCTAAAATGAATAGTGAAGCAGATTTAAGAAAATATTATCATGGTTTATCTTGGAACTGGCTTGTTAGTTTTTGTAAATAAAAATTTAATTCTTTTGTTGGCAAATTGTCATGGGGGAGGTAACAAAGTTAAGAGAATTCAAAATGCAGAATGTCTTAGAAAATGGTATTTTCCTCATTTAGGCATACTCTTCAGTATTCTTAGTAATCTTTTATAAAATGCTTTGTCATTAAAAAACATTTAAAACTTCCAGTAAAGGACAACTGTGTGACTTTTCAATTAAATACTTTACATGAAATATTAAGGGAACTCAAGGGCAATTTAGAATTCCTTTCCATTTGAAGAAGAGACTCTTCATTTACTGTAAAGATTATTGAGTAAACCCCTTCCTTCCTTCCTTCCTTCCTTCCTTCCTTCCTTCCTTCTCTGTGTAAATTTCCCACCTTATGTAGAAACCTTTTGCAATATTGGATTTGTATTTGGCATTTATGCTGTGGCCTATTTCAGATCATGACCCTCTTGGGGATTTCAAAATAAGAAAAAGATGAAATTTCAGATAGTTTATAATTTAAGTCTACCGAGGTTAGAAATAACTGCTTTGATTAATAGAAACAACTTTTGAGCTGGCTAATTAGAAAGAATGCATACAGGGACCACTCTTAGAAATCCTTGAACAATAAAATTCACTATTTTAAAAGGTGAAAGAGTTTTCTAAAGCTGATGTAATACTTTTTAGAAACCTTTTCCAGAATATGGAATGACGTAGTGAATGATTTATCTTTTTGCTTAGTGCCCAAGGCATGACTTTTTTTTCCCCGTGTGTGTGTGTGTGTGTGTGTGTGTGTGTGTGTGTTTAAGTCGCATTGTGTTATATTGCAATCTTGTATGTTCTCCTTGGAATGTAAACTCAGGAGATCAGAAAACTTTTC